ACTTGAGTCGGACGAGGGAGAGGATGAAACTTCTGGTCATGAACCATCAAGGTCACATGACCCAAATTTCTCCAATCATCCTCCTCCTCTGAACCACACCTCATAACACAAGGTGAACTGAAAGACCTTGTCAGGGATTTGGAACTACCCATTAGTAAGGCAGAGCTGTTGGGCTCCAGACTGAAGCAGTGGAATTTTCTGGCAGGTAATGTTAGGGTTTCCATGTTCCATGACTGTCAAAAGGATCTTGTCCCATTCTTCTGCATGGAAGGTGATCTTGTAGCCTGCAACAACATCGATGGTGTGATGGCAGCCATCAACATCGTTCATAATCCAAATGCGTGGAGACTGTTAATTGATTAATCGAAGGTGAGTCTTTAAAGCTGTTTTGCTGCATAATGGCAATATTTTGCCATCAATTCCAGTTGGTCATGCAGTCCATATGAAGGAAACCTATGACAACATGGAACAACTTTTCAGGTGCATAAACTATAACCAACATCAGTGGCAGCTTTGTGGCGATTGAAGGTTGTTGCTCTCCTGCTTGGTCTGCAGACTGGATACACAAAGTATTGCTGTTATCTCTGCAAATTGCAACACAAGCAAACATCATCAGATGATGATTGCTTCTACGTGACTTTACCGAAAGAACCAAGAATATGAATCCCTGCAGTCACGAAAGCTTTAAATAAAAAAATATGCACTTGTATATACATACTGGTTTTTTGCCTTTTGTTTCATAATACATTATATTTAGATAACCCTTTTGCTGATATTTAAAGTGTTACATGAACCAGGTGACATGTTATGTAAAGCAACCATAAACACACAAAGGCCTAGGTTTACAATTTACGAGTGACTCTGCTATCTTCACAATATACATAGACGTAAAATGTAAAAACTTAAATCTCTTGGGAACAGTAAGCAATCGGTTGTTTTAATTGTCATGTGAATTCAGCACATCAAAATCCATAATAAACAGCACATTTAATCTCTGAAGCAGACAATGTCTAAAATATTGTCGACCATACTCTTTGTTTTTTTCGGTAAAGTCACGTAGGTTAAAAAATAAAACAAATAAATTAAATCACGACGTTTTGGAGGCAACACAAGCCTCCGTCTTCAGGTGGAACCGTCACAGAAAAATCACCGCATCAAGTGAAGAGACCTCCAAGAGACACGACCCTATATACTGGTTAAGGGGAGGGTAGAGGAGCCAGGATGGGTCGTGGGGGGTTGAGTACCAAAACAGCCACTGCGGCTACACCTGGAGCTGCAGCCGAGGCCTTGTGATGTAGATGGCGTAAGTAGATAAGCGAGCGAGGATTACGCCGCCTTTTGTTATGCACGCTGGTGGGTTGCAGGCAAGCAGTGTGTGAAAAGCTAAAAAAGCTACTATGGCTGTACAATTATAAGGCAGCTAGAGTTTGGCTTGGTTGATGACATCTTTCCAATAATTTCTTAATTTAAAACCATCCTCTCGGTTGAAGTTGTGTCTATGTTTGTATATCTGGATGGCCTCATGAACAAATCTTTGGTAGTAACCGGGAGGTTTGCAGAGTACTTTGGTATCGGAGAAAACGATATCATGAGAACCCGCTGTGTTGAAACAATGATCAAGAAGAATTGGTTCTGCCATGTTTCAAATCTGATTTGTGCTCGCGAATTCGGTCAGAAATATGTCGTTTCATCTCCCCGATATAGCAGCCACCACAGGTACAACTCAATTTGTAAACACCGGGGTACTGTAAGTCAGGAATGACATCCTTTACGGATGGGATCAAATCACGGATTTTGTGGACTCGATTGAATCGGACCTGGATCTTGTGTTTGTTTAGAATTTTGGAAATCTTTTTGGTAACGCCTGCTCTGTATATTTTTAGCTTTTCACACACTGCTGGCCTGCAACCCACCAGCGTGCATAACAAAAGGCGGCGTAATCCTAGCTCGCTTATCTACTTACGCCATCTACATCACAAGGCCTCGGCTGCAGTTCCAGGTGTAGCCGCAGTGGCTGTTTTGGTACTCAACCCTCACGACCCATCCTGGCTCCTCTACCCTCCCCTTAACCAGTATATAGGGTCGTGTCTCTTGGAGGTCTCTTCACTTGATACAGTGATTTTGCTGTGACGGTTCCACCTGAAGACGGAGGCTTGTGTTGCCTCCGAAACGTCGTGATTTAATTTATTTGTTTTATTTTTAAACCTACGTGACTTTACCGAAAAAAAACAGAGTATGTATCCTTGCAGTCACGAAAGCTTCAAATCTAGAATTGTAGACCAGTTGTAATCGAAGCACCCAGAGCAAAATCAACGCATGCAATGGGGCAACGTGCTATCCTGTCCAGAGAGGACATTTACACGAGACTGCTATTAACCTATAAGGCTTTAAAAGGGCTCGCCCCACATTACTGGCAGGAACTAATACATGGAGATATTCCATCAAGGTCCCTTAAGATATTCTGATCTCCAACTGCTCGGCACTCCCAAGTCTAGGTTGTGCTCTTTTGGTGATCGGGATTTTGTTACCGTGGTACCCAAGCTATGGAATCGGGCAATCGGAGTCGGTAGATCTATTTCGTTCTGCTTTAAAACCCCATCTCTTTAAAGTGGCCTTTCCTCTTTATTTTGGTCAGTTGTCCTGGTTCTGTTTTTATTTCCTGCTTTTCATGGATTAGGAAAACGGGCGAATTTGTGTATTTTCGTTCACAAAGTCCGAAAAAAACAACATGAATCAAAATGAACATGTATTTATACTAAAGTAATACAAATTGTAGTCTCCCATCATGTTCTCTTTATACTGTCCTTGGTAGCGGCGTTCAAAGTCCTTGTGAAAGCGCTCGTCTTATTCCTCCGAGTACACTCCCATGTCCTCCTTGAATTGATCAAGGATATGGACTTTGAGGGACATCCTACAGCCCATTGTGCCATAGTTCTTCGCCAGAGTCTCAACCAGTTCTACATAGTTTTCGACCTTGTGATTGCCCAGGAAGCCACGAACCACTGCGACAAAGCTGTTCCAAGCCGCGTTCTCGTTACTAGTGAACTTCTTTGGAAATTAATTGCATTCCAGGATCTTCTTTATCTGTGGTCCAACGAAGACCCTGGCTTTGACCTTTGCCTCAGACAGCTTAGGGAAGTCTTAAAGGTACTTGAAGGCTGCCGACTCCTTAACTACGGCTCTGAAAAATTGTTTCATAAGGCCCAATTTAATGTGCAGTGGTGGCATCAGCACCTTCCAGGGGTCCATCAGTGGCTCCCACTTGACGTTGTTCCTCCCCACAGAGAACTCGGTCCGCTGTGGCCAGTCCCGCCTTGTGGTAGTGTGCCTTGGTGTCTAAATCTTTTGTAGTAATTTTTTTATCACTTTAGTATAAATACATATACATTTTTATTCATATGTTGTTTTTTCCTGAAAATAGGTAAATATAAAAATATCACTGTCCTGGTCACAAAAGCAAAGTTTGTGTAGAATAATAGCCATTTTCTGTACTTTTGAGGCATTAGCAATTCGGAACTAACACTTACTACCCAGGAACAAGAAAAAAAAGTATTAGTGTTATCAAATTATCATGGGGGGGGGGGGTCACTGGCATCCAAAACCACTGGTGGAAATTCCACATACCCATTTGTGGGGTCCGTTGCTCCCCATCGGTCGTCTTACTCTTGTTTTCCCCACGGCATGGCACTTGTGCTGGAGACGCTTAACAGCCAGAACGAAGTGGCCGCCACATCGCATTTTTAAAACGCAGTGTGGTTTGTTGGAATATCATTTGTGTCGCGCTGTATTCGTAAAACATTATTGGTGTTCCAGCCACAGTCACATTGCCTTCCTGCTTTCCAGAGACATCTTGCATTTGTTTGGGTTTTTTAAAATATGAAAACCAGTACCAGCTTGGTGGTTTACAAGCACGTTGCACGTTTTCATTGAAGAGTGTAAAAACAGGGTACTGTTGTATGGTGTGTTGTGTTGTGTGTGTGCGCACTGAACATAATTCGCATGATTTCTATATGGTGCTTATGTTTTTAATTGGTGATGCTAATTATGTGCACCCTTCAGAAATGTAAGCAGGAATTTTTAAGTGTGCACGTGAAACATGGAAATACTTTAGAGATGTTACACAATTGAAGATGTGTATTGGAAAATGTGGACAAATGAAACCACACAGAATCCCTCCAGTTCAGCTTCAAGAACTTGAAAAGCTGTCATTTGTGCTCCATGATAAACTACGTGCTTTAAGAACAGACTTTTAAAGTTATGGTTTGTATGTGCATATAAATGGGTCATGACATGGCTGTAAAATGGTCTCCACTCAGTAAATACTTGACTGTATTATAAACATCTGCTCGAAGACGTCCATGGTATATTTAATTAAATTATGTGTCCTGCCCTTCGACATAAAATATGGAATACATTCTGATGGTGCCCGCTTTAAAGAACTGGCATTGTCAGTTGTGTGCTATCAGCGGAACGTGCAGTTTTTGAAGCCAGCCTGCAAACAACAAAGTCGGCCTTCTTCCAGCGTCGGTAGCTTAGTTTCATTTGTATATTTTTTGTTAAAGTTATTTGTTTTACCTTTCCTGTATTCTTGCAGTCATATAATTGTTTTCTATTCTTCTTGTAACGCTCTGACCTGCCCCCTTACTGGACATCCGTGAAACAAAAAAATAGCTTCATAGCTCATCGGATTGCTCCAGTATAAATACATTCTGATACTGAGCTTTTACACTCCCAAACATCGTGACAACATTTCCTCAACAACGCTTTTGTGCGCGGCACGTTGAGATCACACGTGTGTGTGTGCTGCGTGTCGTGTTCTGCGGCGTTACAGTTTGCGCTCCCATATGCACCTTCCCCCCCCCCCACCCCCGTGCAGCCTTTCCAGCAGTGAAGGGGTTGAGCTTCTTCCATATCGCTGCTCGATTTATCCGGCTGTTTTGGAAGAGTCGTTCTTCACTCCGTGAAGCTACCTGTGTTTCTTCTTCTTGTGATCCTGACAGCATGCAATCAGTACAAGACGTGTGACGGCTGCCTGTCTGCCCACATCGCATTCGACTGCGGGTGGTGTGGAAGCATCCAGAGGTTTATATTCATTTATTTATTTCGGCTCCTATTTATTCTATGGGACCTTTCTTGCCAGCGTCAAGACGATGACAAAATAAGAATAGGCTTACAAAATAATAATAGGCTTTCGCCTTTTGGTGTTCTCTGGTCGAACACGGAGACAAAACCATAAAGGTGGCTGTCTCTGGTGTTGGCAAATCCGTTGCAAAGACGATGCATAGATTATTATCAGGACACGTTTTTTTTTGCGTGATTCACCACAAGTATGTGTGGTTAATGCAGTATTTGATGCCTTGCAAAAGGTGTCTTTGGTGTTTAATCATCTTAATACTTACTGTTTTTATTGCTGGACAGGCTAATGCCTATTCTTATTTTTTCATCGTCCAAACAACTAGATTTGAAGCTTTCGTGACTGCAAGGATTCATATTCTTAGGTTTTTTCGGTAAAGTCACGTAGGTAAAACATCAAAATTAATAAAAATAAAATAAAGATCACGACGTTTCGGAGGCAACACAAGTCTCCGTCATCAGGTGGGACCGTCACAGCCAGATTAGCTGCATCGCTTCCACGCCGTCGCCCACCCTTTTGGCGTCCGCCCCCCTCCCTCCCTGATACGTTCCATTCATTGGCTACCACATTCTGATGAGCTCCCCCCCCCCTCTCCTCCCCCCTCAACTCGCTTTTAAGGGATTACATCTTGAATCATTGCCTCACTTGATGCAGCTAATCTGGCTGTGACGGTCCCACCTGATGACGGAGACTTGTGTTGCCTCCGAAACGTCGTGATCTTTATTTTATTTTATTTTTATTAATTTTGATGTTTTACCTACGTGACTTTACCGAAAAAACCTAAGAATATGAGTCCAAACAACTATTTATCATCATCACGTGCCCATGGTATTCCCACGACTGGCTGAAGGCCTCTCTCTTTTCCAAAACCGTCCGTCGTGGCCCTGCAAAGCCACAATCTATCTCAGGTGTGTGCACTGAATTGATCGCACTGCCCATGTCCTGGTGCTGCTCATCCTTTTGAGTGTGTTCCACTGCTTGGACTGCCATTCTGTCACCAGTCTCGCCCATTGGCCATCATCTTGTAACGCTCTGATCCACCCCTACTCGACGTCTGTGAAAACGAGCTTTGTAGCTCATCAGAATCCTCCCGCAGTACAAATAAATATTCTGACTTTGATCTCTCTTAGCCACAAGGTGCCCTGTTAAAGCTGACTTGCATCTGTCCCTCGATCCGTGTATTCCTCAACTTTGCAAACATGTTTTTCATCCTGCTTTTTTTCCTCCCCCGTTTCACTCCTCACAATTTTTCGCTCGTAATAGCTCCCGAGTGCAAAATGTGCAGCCATCTACTGTGAAGATCTTGAGTAATTCCCCCCCCCCCCCCCCCCATGCTTCCGTGTTCGATTGTTACTCATTTTCCGCGTTTTGTTTCAGATGCTCCAGCGGATTTGACCGCCACCGGCAGGAATGGATCGACGGAAGTTGTCCGCAAGAGGTACGATGATGAATTAACCTGCGCTGTTAATCAAAGTCCTCGTAACATGAAGAGCCTATTTAATGAAAAAATACAACTAGGCTTTACCCCTTTTTATAGTGTAGGTCAATCAGTTTCAACGACGATGCATACATTATCAGAGCATGTTTGTTTGCATGTTTTGCCACAAGTATGTGTGGTTAATGCAGACTTTTGATGCCTTGCAATAGGTATCTAATTGGTTTTTTGATATTTGAACACCTGCTTTATTGCCCGAAAGGGCAAAGCTTATTATGTTTTCATCATTTTGATACTGGCAAAAAAGTCCCATAGACATGAAGAACCGATAAATATAATACTTATGTGTTCAAATATGTATAGTGATGGACTCGAGATGCACTGTATCAGGAGGCACTCTGTCTATGTATAGCCTTTGCAGGCACAGGGAATACTACAATAAGGTCAGGGCAGCAACAGGCTGCCTGACCCACAACGCTGCAGACGAGGGTAAGACGATGTTGTCTATGATGGCGAAGACTTGACGGGACTTGACGAGCTCCAGGGGTCCACTCCAACAACGGCCCCGAGTCCTCCCCGCGGTCCCCCTTTTATCCCCCCAGCACAGCCTCGCTCCCCCTTGGCTACGCCCCCCTTCTAGACCCTCCTAGAAGTTTCTCCTTGTACCCCCTCCGTCACCTTCTCTCCACGTGCCTTCCTCCCACCTACCCCCTCACCTGCTGGCCGACAGGGTTGCCATGGCAGCCGAGCTCCTTTTTGCCAACAGCCATGCCGTAGTGACCCATTCCATATCACTACATATGTATGTTCCTAAGAGTATAGCAATGCACGTGTTCCACTTGTATGGTTGTAGGAGTTGTCGCTAAGCCATCAATGGGTCGCCGTTTAGAATGTTCCTCTGGGTGTGACGATCCATCGTCCCGAGCCAGACCTCCTGGATAGGACAGAGCATTTATTTTGTTCATCAGAAGTACTGATGCAGAACAGTGTGTTGCCAATCAGCAGCTTCAGCCAGTGGTGCCAATGGACATCTAACGGTCACTTGTATGTATGTGTGGTGAACTTCGAATCGTACAGAGCCAACCGTGCTAATTCAAGTCCTTTATGGCTCCTCGCACAGTACGCCTTACATCGAGATTCTTAACTCGTCCTCCTCAAGAAACATGCTCTGCTGCCTGTGTTATTAAATTGCAGTTAACGTGTGTTTAAAACAAATTTTGTAGGAGTTTTCCTCGTAGCCCTGTATGTGACCCCAAAACTAAGGTCGTAGTGTGTGAGGTTGCTGTGGGGGTTTAGTCTCAAGTCGGCTCCCACTTAAACCCTATTTTGTGGCTCAGGTCTATTAGAATACATTGCTATAATCTGCATTTGTCGCCTACTCGCAATGTTTGCACAAGTTCGCTTCCTCTTATGTCCACTTACTCGTTATTTACCATTGCAATATTCAAGCATATATTTATTGTGCGCAATCATTCGCTGCTTTTCGGTTCTTGATTGAAAAAGGTGCGGTTGGTTCAAGTGACACTGAATGACGAAACTAACCCAGAGGTGGCTTGTATTGAAATGGAATCATAAAATGTATTTGTACTGGACGAATCCGATGCGCTATAAAGCACATTTTTTCACAGATGTCCAGTAAGGGCACTGGGTCAGAACGTTACAACAACAAACAATACAAAAACACGATAGGAGTGCAAAGTATAGGAAATGTAAGCAAATCACTGAAAAATTTACAAATAAAATGGAACTTTTTATTAGCTGCTTTTCGGAAGCAAGCTAGGCCTAAATGATAGTTCAACGAAGTGGCTTAACATGTGGAAATTTATAGCAGCCAAATACTCTAAACGAATGGTTAGATAATAAAAAAAAGCTGCTGAAACGATGCACTCCCAGAAGACCATGTGGGCCTGATGAGTGTTTAAAAACGCACATTTACTTTTGTGTGTGCAGCGACGGGTATTAGAAGGAGGCGTATTGTCCATATTGTCTTCTTTTCCTCGTCACCACTGCCACGCTATTGGTTATTTTGTGTTGAGCATTTATGTTAAGGGCGCCATCTACTGGGCCGGCTGATGGTCATGGATGAACACAAACCTACCTTCCACATCGGGGTTATGGATAGCGCACCCCATTGGAACCCCGATGACGGTATTGGCTTCCTTCATCCCACAAGTCAAGCTCTTCCAAAAGGGGGGGTGGGTTGGTACCCACATCTGTGCTGGTCACCAGCCCAGATCTGGCAGCTTGGCCGTTGCATTCAAGAGTGAGCGACAAACTCGCGCGACAACGATCATTTGCTCAACGGACGGTACAGTTATCGGGCGTCGCATATCGTACGAGATGTCGCAGTGCTGCCACGTCGTGGCCACCTTCGGGGGCCGTGCATTGAATTATTCCAAGATATTTATTTTCCGACGAAAAAGCGCATGAGAAACACTTTGTTGGACACGAATAGCTGTTGTCAGTTGAATTGATGCTTTTTATGTAATTGATGGCATGGCAATTGTGATGTCATGAATGTAAAAGTTGATTTTATATTTTATGTAATTGTAAGTGTTATCGATTTTTTAAAAGTTGCAATGATAATAAGACTTATCAAATATTTATATTGAGTGAACTGCAATAAGAACATGTGGATAATTTTAATTTATACTAGAACTATACTACAGCAAACCGTAAACCCATGCAAAAGACAATTACAAGATTATGGAAAATGTATATCACGATAACCTTCATCTTGTGAAATCTTATACCATAAAAAATATAATATGGAAACCCTAATAACCCCTTTATTAGTATAGTAGGGCTAACCTTATTATGATAAGGTTTGAATAGTCTCTTCTCAGTGAGCTTTCACTAATAATCTAGATTTGAAGTTTTCGTGACTGCAGGGATCCATACTCTTTGGTTCTTTCGGTAAAGTCACGTAGGTAGAAAATGAAATAAATTAAATCACGACGTTTCCGGCGCAACACAAATGTCCGTCATCAGGTGGGACAACCACAGCAATTGTTTCTTGCTGTGGTTGTCCCACCTGATGATGGCCTCGTGTTGTGCCCGAAACGTCGTGAGTATAGCTTTCACTAACGCTGCTGTATGTCTGTGCACTTGGTGCTGAAGCTATAGTTTAGTCATGTGTACAGATTTCCTTAGAAATCATGACGACCTTAATAGGCACTTTCTCACAGCACTTGCACAGAAAGGCTACGGTGTGCATGACAAATGCCATCATATATGTTATACGTTGCATGTGATTTTACAGTTGCGCGTTATGTGAAGGCACGCTCTAAATTTTGCCTTTCAAAAAGTGCCGTGGGGTCTTACCTGGTGAACGCATCGTCTGTGTGCACAGGCAAGCACGGAGAGTTGCCCTGCTGATGAGCTCGCCAGCCGAGGCTCAGAAGAACAGAAGCCACCGCTGGCTGCGAGGCCCACATCGAGTGGCAGGAGTAAGTCCCCTGAGGTTTGGCGAGCACTGGGTAGCGTTTTAAAGTAACAAAAACGTTTTTTTATTTTATTTTGGTTTAACATGTGGGCTTTTCGCGACCAATATCCATGAAAGAGGGTTTATTTTTTTTTTGGGTTAGATCGCATAAATATATATGTATCGTTAAACCCGCCACCGCCTGACGCAGCCAATTAGTAAGGTTTGTCACGTCAACAAAACCTGCCATTTCGTTACTCGTTTCAAAAGCAACTTGGCCACAAATTATAGCTCAACAAAGTGGCTTATCACGTGGAAATTTATACCAGCCAAATTATCTAAATGCACGTTGATTCTAAATGGAGGACCCAGAGAAAAATCCATGTAACCACGGGGACAACATGCAAACTCCGAATATGCAGGTGTCAGGATTTGGATCAAACCCACGACCTCCTTTAGACCAGACGAGGTAGTTAAGATCTCGCCACCGTGGGTCCCCTAGTTAACAGCTTGCCGCCGTTTTGGTATGCTTGTGTAGCTTGCGACTCTAGTCTCGCCTTGAGCTCTGAGATGCAAATGGATTGGATCATCTTTGTTTACAATTACATTTTTGAAATATTATTATCCGGGTCACATGATTGTATTTTTAAATCATAATTATTATTATCTCCCCACACACCATTAGTGATTTCCTGTGGACGAAGGGACTCAGGACAGGATTATGGTTGGCATTTTCCCTTGGATAATGTTTGCTTGGAACACGAGCGCACCCTTGATGCCAGTATTATCCAGTGAAATATTTTTGCAAGTTGTTCCTAAGGAGTTTGATTGTGGTTATGGTAAACATTATTCTTGATGTTTCAGCTGGCCTTCCAATCATGTTTAATTTCGCAATGCAACTCTTCATAAACCATACGCTTTAACGCGCACAAAATTATGTTATATATTTCTTTCTTACCTGCATGGACATTTGTATGTATGTAGAGCTTATTTTGCACTGTCCGTAGCCAACCGTGCTAATCAGAGGTGTGGGGGAAGGACAACAAACTAAACAAAAAAAATAGTCGTAAAGAAATTGGTTTTCAATCTAGTTTCAAAAGTGCATAGCTCCAGTTTGTTCCTAATGTCGGAAGGAAAAGACCGTCTTTGTTCGATGGCCATCTTAAAGCCGCTGCGAGGACGACCAGAGTTCAAGTGATGGTCTAAGCTCCTCGATGAGATCGGCGAGATATTGTGGTTCATTTGTGGCAAGCGCGAGCACCAAGTGTCGGGAGCTGTATGATTAGACCTTTGCCTGAGCTGCAAGATACGCTCTGAAAGCTACTTTGGCACATTCACACCCTCTGGAATGTCCACATATGGGATCGGTGGACGTTTTGGTGTCTAACCCAAAATGACAATTGCGTGACAATAAAATGCCGTCACGGAGACCAGAATTGGTGTGTTCCGATGGTAAAATAAAGTGTAATAAAATCTCACATACCTTTTTGTCAATCCTCTGCTGTATTAAAGCCTTTCAACCCAGTGTCTATTTATGGGGATTGTTTAACCATACCTCACCACGCTGGTCAGTGTGGTGTTGCTGTAATTGGGGCATTGGCAGGACCTCTTTAGATATTGCTCGCTATCATGATGTATCTCTGGGCATTTAATATACATTTAAAAACCAACTATAGACGCCACAATCTGCACCGATTTTGGGTGGATTCAGTGGCTCGGTGGTTCTTGAGCTACCGCACGACGAACCTTGCCCAACAGAGTTTGATTCCCGGCGAAGGCTAATATCGGCGGCAAGTGACTTCTGAGCCAATCCTGCTCCCGAACCTACTCTCTACCTCCTTCCACCATCCCACACTGAACCAGAGTGGTGAAGTACGGTCAGAGTAACGCTCGCTCCCTGCACAGCGTCCAGCAGCAGCGCGGTTGACAAACGAGCCGTGGCCGCGTGCGTGTTGCGATCGACGCCGACTCCGTGGCGTGCCGTGCGAGCGAGCAGAGGCGGTGCGCGGAGCGACGTCGATGAGCAGCGTGCTGCTGGCGGCGAGCCTCTCGCTGGCGCTGCTGCTGCTGCTGGCAGCGTGCGGCCTCGCCCTCTACGTGCACCGCTACCCCACCTCGTCCGTCAGCCTCTTCCTCATTGAGGTGAGTTGCTCGCGGCCGCTCGGCGACGGCGACAACAACAGACTTCGTCGTCGTCATTATTATACCGGACCCTTTTTTGCCACGATCAAGATTATCAGAAAAAAATAGGCTTTGATCTCTTTCCGATAAGAATATGCAGGTGTTAAGATGTTGTGCGGTTAAAGTGTAGTTAATGCAGACTTTTGATGCTTTGTGATAGATGTATATTTGGTGCTTGAACATCTTAACATCTCCTGTATTTATATTCTTTAGGTCTTTTGGTAAAGTCACGTAGATAGGTTCAAAGAAAATAACCAAAAACTACGACGTTTCAATTGCAACACATGACGATCGCTTGTGTTGTGATTGAAATGTCGTAGTTTTTTGTTATTTTCTTTGATTCTATCTCCGCGACTTTGCCGTCACGAATGCTTTAAGTCAAGATCTCCTGTGTTCTTGCTGGAATGGAGAAAGCCTATTATTTTTTTCATCATAATTATTGTTGGACTCCCTTGATGTTAAGCAATTTGCAGCGATGCCGCTGTTTTGCTGGCACTGGTATTTGTGTTTGCGCTTAAACAAAAAAATCCGTTCTGCAGTTATTCCTTCGCGTCAACGTCGTGGTATATTTTGTCGAGAGAATCCGCAGGCTCTTGACAATGGCAGCATGAATAAGGTCATGAGCCATTCAAGAGCTCTATTTTTAATTCCTTATCCTTACCGTTGGCCACGGTCGATCCACTGCTGGAAGAAGCAGCCCTCTCCAAAGCCGGTCCTACAATGCCATAATCCACCCAGCAGCTGCACACTAATGTCATCGTCGCGTCTCCTCTGTGGATGCGTTCCATTCCTGGGCTGAAACTCTGTCGTCATTCTTGACCATCCGTCATTCCTTCGTGTGACTTGTCCTGCCTAAGCCCACGTACTTTTCTTTATTCTGTACTTTTCTTTTAATATCCCATGTTTAATGGGGGACTTTTTACATGTTTTGCCATTTGCTAACGTATCAGCTAGAGCAGTGGTTCTCCGAGTGGTCTGCGACGGTCTTCCAGGTGCTCCGTGGGGCTGTGATGCAAATGCCGGTTGATCCGGGCAAATATTATAACGGTTTTCACATTGTTTCAGACCTTCATATTTTACTTACAATATTTAATGTAAAAATGAAGTTGGGTAAACTACCCTGATTAAATACATCCCATTAAAAAACCTTATACCTGTGTAAAAAATGTTTAATTTTTTTAATGTTCCGGTAATGTCAATGATATTGTACGAGTGGTCTTTAGAGAGAGAAGTTAATGCGTTTCGTCACCAGGGTGGCATGGGGGGCTGGGTGGTCCATGGTAATGTTTGCATTGGCTTAGTGTTCTGCGGGCCGAAGAAGTGTGAGAACCACTGCTGTAGAGAAAACAACAACAATTTCATCTTGTAACACGCAAAGTATTTGCTCACTCTCGTAGAGAGAGGCGCGAGGAACCACGGACAAGCACGGAAAGCAGACATGCTCTAAGCCGGCGCCAACATTTTCTCAAGTTCTGCAGTTCTCTATAAACAGTGTTGTTTTCATAACGCCAAATGGATATAATCATTTAATTGAAAGGTGCCTTCCACTCATGCCTCAAGGTGCCTTGTAAGAATAAGGAAAGGCCACGAGAGACAAACTATGTAGAATAGACTGACTTGGGAAGATGTGGTTTTAAGACGAGACTTAAAGGTGTACCCACACTGTCGGATAAACAAATTTCCAATGGTGGAGAATTCCACATCTGTTGCGCAGACACAGCAAATGCCTACTCACCCCAGGAACGCAGCCGGGATCGAGGGACGCGCAGAATTGTGCCCTTGAGCGGGTGTACGGATGACGCGATTAATATTGAAACACATTTTATAACGCAAATGTGAATTGGCTATAATAAGATTTAGTGAACAGAACGACATCGTGCCAGGTAGAAATGAGCAGTTGTACGGCTGTCTCGGCTTTACAACCGGTGGGATGCTGCTGGATGCTTCTAGATGCTACCCACGTGCCTCAGTCTTTGTTCAGCCTGCGTACGCATCTCACGTGTTTATCGCGGACTGTGCTTTAGCCTATAATATTTATTATAATGCGAATTTTTTTTTCATAATACAGTGTTCTTCAGGAATACAGCTACCGAGTTATAGGAGGGCATACTATATTAATGTGGTTATCGGACAAATAATGAGCACTTGTGCCAGGAAAACCGGAGCACCCGAAATAAAATCCCAGCCGTGCGAGGGGGAAGTGTCGTATCCCATAGGTGGTGGATGGCTTACTTGTCAACTATCGGCAGGTGTGGAGGGCAATTCCACACTTCTGGGATCTCCTAATAATGAGGGCAAGAGCAACAGTCCACGAGTGTTTACAACCTTACTTCAAATGTAACTTTCCCCTCTGAGGTGTTTTAGTTAGGAATTGCGCTCACCACCTGGGAAGCGTGGGGAATTAATAGTATGCCAGGGCAGCTGGCGGATGCAGCGGGGAGCGTATAAGGGGAAATGCTACTGGTCTTTTTGAACAGTTGTATTGAATAGCATCTTCTCACAATAGGAGTAGGAAGAGCTTTAAATTGTAGACCAATAATAATTAAAACGTTAACGTTAAAGGGTTCATCCATTCAGGCAAGTGTGTATGGGTGGTGCTAAATCCCAATTTACAGCCCAGAGCTGGTGGAGACTCTTCCCCCGGTTCCCGTGGCTGGGAACAGCCAAATCCGTAGGACAACCACTTGCTTCCCGCACATGAGTACAATATTTTATTTGATCAATTCTGTATTGACGATCATATGTCCTTTGATATTCGAGCTAGATGTCTTGCTTAATTCTTAGGAAAAAAAGTGTTTTTGTTAAATTTAATATAAGTAATATGTTTCTTGTTATTAGGAATAAAATCTTAATCTATTCTCGTTTTGATTCTGAACGAGAGTTATAGTGGGTAGTAAAAATAATACATTCTAGGTTTAATGGATTAATTATCTTATTGTATGTATATGTTAATAATTATAATAAATAAACGTATTATTCTAGACCTCGTATGTATTAGTATTATTAACAATAATGCATTAGAATAGGTTTTCTGCTTTTTTCTTGCAACAAAACAGGTGTTAAGATGTTAAAACACCAAACTGAAACCTTTTACAAGGAATCATGTCTGCATGAACCACAATACTTATGTTCAGAATGCAAACAAAAAACATACTCTGATTATCAATGCATTGTCTTTGAAACTGATTGGTCCACACCAAAGACAGCTTTCTTTTGAGCCTCGTCTCAAACGGTGTTAGACCAGAGGACGCCGGTCTGTGACCACAAGTATTGTGGTTAATGCAAACATGATTCCTTGTTAAAGGTTTCAGTTTGGTGTTTTAACATCTTAACACCTGTTTTGTTGCCCGAAAAAAAGGGAAAACCTCTTATGTTTTTGCACTGGCAAAGGAGGTCCCATGAAATAATACATGTTATCCTCGATTTAATTTTGAAATGTTAATTAAAAAATCGCACAGCTTGGTGAACTCTCGCTTGCAGCATGCCCCTGTGACTTATGCAAACAGCGTAGGCTGCACAATGGCATTATTAACCTCTCATGGCATTATTAACCTCAAATGGCATTCGGTGCTCCGCTTGCCTACTCCATTACCGGGCTTGCATGCTCAAGACACGTGTGCTGCTGCATGAAATTCCAGTAAAAGTTGGTCTGGCTTGCCCCAAAGGCTTGTTTTGTTGCATGACGACAAGTTGTTTAAGCACATGTTTTTTGATGGGGTGGGGGGGGGGGGGGGGGTGGGGGGGGGCAGCTACACTGGAAAATGAAACCACCACGACGCAGAAGAAGTTTGTTAGTCGCTCGCACCTGTAATCCTGTAATTTGGTGGTGGTGTGTCCTGGGTTTTATTCGCAATCAGGTTTGTCAAATTAAATTTCCTCCATCCGCTGCTGGCAGTCCTACCTCGCAGTAAAATAACTTCACTGTTGCATTGCTTTATTAGCAAACCATGTGTAGTGGATTTGCTGGTGTGTGTGTGAAAATGCTCAAGAGGAGGTGGCATTAAGTGTAGGGTAGAATTTTAGACCTTTGCCTAAGCTGCAAGACAATCTTTGAAAGCCACTAAGATACAGTGGACACCCCGTGGTCTGCTCATGTCCACCTACCTCATGGAGCAGTGGACGTTTTACTCTATAACCCAAAACCATTGCGAGGAAAAACAAAACCCTATTGGAGACGAGAAGTGTGTTTGCTCGTGATAAATAAATTCTAATAAAATCATATACAGAATTTTAATCCACTGCTGGATGAAGGCCGCCTCCCCCGTTCTTTGACGATTTAGGAGGGTTTTGCCTGCTTCCACTACGCTAGTCGGGGCGGGTTTGTCAATTGGGGGCGTTGTCAGGACTGTATCCGACATCGCTCGCCACTGGTGTGGTGTTTGCGGGCATTCGGATTTAACCTGAAACAAAAACCAGAGGCATCCACAGCCTGCACGGATTTGCATCGTGGTTATTGTGCTGCTGCACTATGAACCTAGCGACCAGAGTTTGATTCCCGGCCACTGCTAACAAGTGATTTTCCCAAACCAATGCTGTGGGGCCCTTCCTTTTCACAGACTCGTACTGCCGAGCGTGGTGAAATGGGGCAAACAACCCCCATGACCAACGTGGCATGGGGAGGGACTTCATCCAGGAGTGGACTGACAAAGACCGAAGAATGCTTACTTTTAATTCTACCAAATCAGAAACTGAGGTTGAGAAATGTCTTGCAGAGACGGTACTTCACAAACAGCGATGAGCTCGGAGGGTCCAGCACGCCCTTGGCCTAGCGAGTTCCCTAGTTTAGGTTCACAAAACCAGTCGGGAATCTCTTCGTCCCTGTGATTTTAGTTCAATTTGAGGGGCAAGTCAATAGTGTTTTGCTTCCTGTGGCTTGAAGATGGTGGGTGCAAATAAAGCGACTGACAAGTTCTGAACGGGAATTTTCCGAAGCCATTTCAAAGCTTAAAAAAAGTGAAGTGCAAAAAAACAATTCCCCGTTTCTGTTTGTGCTCTTCACTGTTTAAATATATTTTGAAAATGTTTATTATAAATTGCTTCTACAGTTTGTACACTTTCTTGGCTAGAAAATATGCTGCCGTAATTTATATCGATTTTCTGCTTCTTGTATTGTATAAATGTAGAGCACCCTTTTCTTTTGACAGTAATATAACCCTGTAATCATTATTTTAAAATTTTCTTTTGTACACTGCAAAAATGCCCAACATAAACTCGGTCCATGACCCATTTGTTCTTTGCTTATAAAAACGTGTCGGTCTGTGACGGACTGGGACTAAACACAGTGGGCCCAAATTGCCGTGCGTTCTCATTGGCTCATTTGCGCATTTGCGCTTGCCCAAACAAAACAAATGGGCCGGTCGGGAAGAATCTTTGGGGCTGCCGAATGTGGGGACTTAATGATGAGAGCTTAAATAAGCAATGCGTACACATTGGAGGTAATAAAATATATTTTTTTAATGTGAAATAAATATTTGTATTTACTCTCTAATTTGCAATTTCTCCACACAAACCGGCCCTTGGCATGGACCGGCCCAATGGGCATTTGACCCATGGACTGATGCCCGATGGCGGTCCATCAAGACCGTGCAGCCTTTTATAGATGCATGCTTTTTTTCGATGCTATATATAAAACAAATTTGTTTTTGTTTATAATTTAACAGATGACGGTTGTAACAACTCGTTGTTGTTGTTGTTGTTGTTGTTCTAGTTCCGCCCCAAAATGTGGCCCACCGTGTTTTCTCGGCGCGTATCGGAGCAGCTGAACTGCGCCGCCGTGGAGACCATCGGACACGACAAGGAGGTTCTCACCGACACCGAAAAATCCAATCAGACTTATGAAATGATGCCCAGTAATGCGTGAATAAATGCCCACGGTCTTTCCGTCGGTTGCGATGGCCTGACAGGAGGCATGGTTATGTCCTTGACGAATTCTACGTGCATTGCCTTTTCACCAGGGGCAGGGTGATTTTTCTGCAATAAGCTTGTGATGTAAAGGGATGCCCTCGGCCCCCCCCCCCCTCCCGTAGTTTTTCGGGATTTTCTGCACGTTTGTCACGCAGGTTGTTGCTGGCCTTACGGCTCTGAGCACAGGAGAAGTTGAGAATGCAGTGTGAGATAAAGTTGTTGCCTGGAGTGCTTGAGGAAAATATAAATTGTCATCGTGGAATTAATGTTTACACGTATACCAGTGCTCGAGGTTTTTCTATTGTATAAATAACAAAATATTGTAATATATCACTTTTTGGATTTTGTACTAAACAAAGCTAAAATCATGAATTAAAAAAATGCATTGAATGCTCAAGAAAAAAACCGAGGAATCCGTGTGTTTATTTTGAGCTGTCTGGGACGTGGTCAAATGCGATGCAAGTTTGTTTGGAGAGATCCTTGTCAAGTTTTTGTCCACGTGTTGAAGCCAAGCCTGGAATTTCTGCCTTTTTCCACAGCGAGTGCCAAATACATCGCGCTCAATATCGTCAGACTGAACATTTCCTCACGTCCGTAAAACTAATCCTAATTAAACATCCATTTAACGTTAATGCATTCTAATGTTATAATTACTAACCATGCACGTGCCTTTTTATCTAATGGCACATCTGATTGCGCTTCGTGTATGGCCCTTGTGTCAATACACTGCTGGATGAGGGTCTATGCCTGCTTTGTGGGTCGTGGGGATTCATTTGGCCAGATACGGGAGCATAGGAAGTAGAGTACTGTATAACAATGTGCAGTAATACTCCGATTTGTGTCTTCCTCCATGTCGTTTCGCAAATATCACGTCTCCACTGAACGCCGCGACCCGATTTTGCGTCGCCTCAAACCCACGCTCGCGTCGCTGACGGCATCGTCCATCTTTTCTCGTTATCCATCAGCTCCGCCTCCGCCACCGACCCTGCAAATCGCTTCGATCTGTCGTGCCGTCGAACCTGTCGAGAACGCCATCGGCCCGACGCAAACCGAGGTGCTATGGCGCTCAATGGCAACAACGCATTTGGTGCCTTGCCCTCGGCTGCCCTCGCTGCCCTCGGCTGCCCACGGCGGAGTCTCGCAGAAGCCTAACGACGGCATGACGTGCACGCGAGTCACTCGGCCAAACGATGCACGCTTTTGCCCCTGCTTATGGATGTAGAACTTCTGTTGCATCGTATGTAGCCAACCACGCTAATCGGAGGTGCTTGGCTTTCGAGATCTGCTGAGATGAGTCCACTCTGAACGATTTGGATATTCGGGCTTAATTTCTGTCGTGTACTTGCAGATGCCTATATCTTGTAACAATAACAAAAAAACCTAACGCATGAAAATGGTTTGCTGCGTGGATTCCACGCAATTGGAAAGGAATTCCATTGCGCTCCACGGTGGCCGATTGTTTACACCACTGCCTATGCGTCGAGGCTCGGCAGTGGCGCGTCCACACGTGGGTTAGTTAAAATGATCAAGTAAGGCCTGGCTGTCTCAAGTGAGAGCTCAATGCAAGGTGGTAGATGTGGAAATGTATAGCAGCCAAATACTCTGAACGCACGTTGTTTCTAAATGTAGTGGGGGGAAAACCGGGGGACCCGGAGAAAAATCCACGTGACCACGAGGAGCGAGAGACACGCAAACTCCGAATATGTAGCAGGCATCGGGGTTGGGATCGAACCCACGACCTTTTGTATACCAGGCGAGTGTAATTAAAATCTCACCACCATTCCCACCAGAGCCGTCCTAACAGCACATCTGCCTGGTCAGTCCTCTGGTAGGGCGAGCTCCATCATCTCTGTGCTGGCGAGCCCGTGGTGCCACGCTGCCACGTGTTGGAGCAGTAAGAGGCTGCTGCAGGCATGGTTTTTGGCAGCTGATGGAGAATAAGATCTTATTTTGTATGGCTGATGTAGATGCAGAGCAACAACTACCATTTCATATGCAGGTGGTCAAGACGGATGACATTTTTTTTACAGTAGCGTCATTCTTGTCAACATCATCCCATAAGGCTGTACATTCACTATTTATGAGGACCAAATCCCATTTCTCGGTTGGCTATGCACAGCGCGAAAGATGCCCAACACCACACACACAGACCAAGCGAACGAAAACCTCTACTAGAGATAACTGCGTCACGAGCAGCGGAGTCTATCGCTGTAATGAAATTCCAGAGAATGAAATGTCTACTGCGATGAACTCCATTGCTGATGGTTCGGCGTGGAGGTGCCTGCAAATCACTTTCTCATGCTGCTGCTGCTGCTGCTGCTGCCTCCGCTTTATGGAGTGCGAGAGGACCCCTTCAGAGGTGTGATTTGGCCTACTCTTCCACACTGGCCAGATGTTTTATATATGTAAAAAATTTTAACAATTTTAACCCACGACAAATGAAAGCTGACAAAAGAAGCGCAAATACAATCGAATTAAATTATCGGAGTACGCGTGCCTTCTTCTCTGCACAGCCTTTGTTTGACTGGGTGTCAGTGCAGATGGGAGATGTGCTGGCCCAAGAGTGTAGTTTAGTCCTGCGGGAGTTTAACCTTTTTATCTGGATCCGTGACTCGCTGACCCGACCCTGACCCAAATTAACACCGCTATCTTACCCGCAACCTGACCTGATCCGACCTGGTTTAATCTCACCTGACCCTCAACCCAACACCGAACCGCAAAATGTGTTTGCAATAACATCATTCTTCTTTGTATGCAATCGTGAATTCGTATTCTCGCAGTGTCGCGTATGGTACATTGAAAGAGAACGATGGTCCTGTGGTGGCCACGTTACCCCCCCTGGGGGTTCCCCATGCTTCCGAGAGTCCGGCGAGGGAGGCGTGAGGGAGAACGATCGAGACACGAGGTGTGGCAGAAACCCACGTGGGAGAAGGTGTCTCCTCCCTCTGTGCTACTCTCACGACCCTGCACCACTCAATGCCAGTTTTCTGCTGAGTGTGCCCTTGGGGAGCCTAGGATGTGTGCAATTTAAATGTCTAATATCTCCTATTGAGGTGTGGCACTGTGGGGGGGGGGGGGGATCTTTTTGAGTGCTCTGTTGTAGAAAATTGTTCAGTGACGCAGGGTCTAGTATGTTGTTCTCGCTGTGTTGTTTCAAGGCTGTTGACACAAAGGCCTGGGACACTGCGATAGAGACACGGGGACAGCGAGGCCGAGACCACGTGAGACCGAGAAACTCCGAGACAGGCATGGAGAGTAAGACGGAAAGGGTCAGATACTGGGAGACACGGGTCGACACAAAAGCACTGAGGGACACCTAGAGACCCAGGGAGCCACACAGACTCTTGGGGTAAGAGCTGTTCACGAGCACCTATGAAGGTTCGCATGGTGGGTTCCCAGCACCACGCCCGGCCGCCTTTGTCTCCCTAGTGGCAATGTTTACACACCGCATCAGGTACTCCTTTGAGGGCGAGTCGACCTAGGGGAGGTCCAGGACCGGTTCCGCTAATCATCATTGTTGGCCGTGAGCGGGAATCGAATTCTGGTCACAGGGTTTGTAGCACAGTGCGCGAACCACTTCATGACTGCAGTGGTTTGCGCACAGGGAGTCGCAGAGACGCAGGGAAACAAGTGAGCCCAAGGATTTCAAGTCCATCTCGACATAACCGTGACAACGATCCAGAGTCCCAGTGTGAAAACGAAGCTGAGTAACCGTGTGCAGTGCTCGCATGATACGTATCGGTCCAACTCTGCTTATCTTGCAACCGTGGTCAAGTGCGACAGGGAGCAAGCAATGCCAGGAATATAAATACAAAGCGGCCTATCGGTTTGGTTTCATTTTTGGCTTAATGGTAGACCCGAGGCTGGGACATCAGGTTGGCACGCACTGTTAGCCACTGCATGCTGCCCATGGCTCTCAGTCGTGTGCGCGGACGACAGCTCGACTCAACTTTTGACAGTGATCGTCAGCTTTGGCACGCGTGACCCCTGGTGTCTGGCTCAGCTCAATGCTGACTCCAATGCGCCGGTGGCAACGCGACTCACCTTGGCGGAGTTCCTCCACCCCCTGCTTCCAAGCATCCGTGACCTCGTCCCTGGAGTGGAGGTCACGGCCATTGTGCACCGAGGGCCTTTTCTGGATCGGCCGTGCTAACCCAAAACTATTTATTTTACCAGGTAAAGGTCCACAGCTCGTGTGGAATATATTTGTATTTTATTTTATTATTGCCATGAATGCACCAGGCCAATCAGGGATTATGAATTTCCCCATTGATACTCGAAAAATGTAGTTGTGGAGGTTTTGGTGTTTAGCCGTTTCCCGTTCTGAGACACCTGCAAGTTGCAGGGTTTGTATCCCTCGTTCACCGCTGAATCTCGAGCGGTTCTGCGTCAATTTTATCCAAAGAGACTTGGCGCTGCCGTTTTTAAAGATGTTGCTATCACCGCAGAGAACCGTAGCGATACAACCGCAATCTACGACAGTTGGCGCCAAACATTTCCGCACACGCACTCCCACATGGCCTTTTACTTCCGATACCGTACATCATCAGATCTGATGACGTACGTGTATGTCATCAGAATGGGAAAGGGCTAATATTAAAGAGATGTCTTTTGCAGCCGAGCTTGGTCTCTGTATCTCGTGGTCCAGGGGTGAGCGCTGTGAAGGCCGTGTGCATGGATGTAGCGGAATAGGTGACCTACGCCCCTGCTACAGGTTTATTGTCGGTCATCCGCGATGAGCATTTCCCAACCCGCACCCAAAACATAAAGACCCCTTCATTCCAACCTGTAGCGTAACAAGCGTGGGGGCAGGCAGAGGGCACCTTGGCTCCCCCCCACTGGTGGCCGAGTTGGGGCCCCCTTGACAACCACCATGAGATGTTTTCAACAACGGTGTAAAAGAACAAAACACTTATTTTACGACGTTGGAGCACCCCTACTGCGTTCCGTGTTGGAGGCCGTGAGCGTCACGACGATGCGATTAGGCAAGGGAAGCCGCGATATACAGGGTGCTTCAAAAAAATGTAAACACTTCCGAGAATTTGCAACAATACCACAAGAAATGCCTCCGGGCTGTGGAGACCACCTGGAGAAGATTCCATACATCTGTTGACAATGATGGCGAACAAGTGGAGACTCTGACTTTTTGAAGCTATTAACATACATTTGTTATCATGTTAAAGTGTATTATCAGTTCTTATTCAATTAAAATGTGTTAACATTTTTTGAAGCACCTAGGTGAGACTGTGCAAGAACAAGTCAAATACTGAGGCCCCACCTGACCCG